AAAGAGTGGGTGATAGCATCTGATAGACAGCTCGAATATGCATGGCTTGGTTCTGGGTCCGTTTTTAGCTTTTCCTTTTTAAAGTTTGTGTCGCTGTCTGAGTGGTGGCAGAGCCTTGCTTTTTTTGATTAAATCCTGTGGTGCTTGTCTAAGGAGACTTGTCAGGAGGCAAAACTTTGGGGAAATAAAGTTTCAAATGATCAGGACCTATTTACAGACGACGCTGGGAGCCTGGGATCATCTCGTTCTCCCTTCTGCTCCTGGTGCTGTGCTGTACCCTTAGATGAGCTATTTTCGGAGCTCTGGTATGCAGAGCATTTTGCAGTTACACACAAAATAAAGAAGTTTAAGAACAAAAGATTGTTCTGGACAGTCAAACTGGAATGAGTTGGAAGGATACATTTAGGAAGTGGTTTCTTGGACACTAATTAGGACCATTTGCTTGGGGTTGCCATTATTTTCCTTTTAGTCTGGAGGGCACAATAGATCAAATGATTTATATATCATTAACAATTCTTGTTAACCGTAAGCAGGGTTGGTCTTTTCCATACTGATTACTGAGTAATGCAATAACGACTTGTTCTATTTCTTCTGCAGTGTCCATACGAGCAAGTTAACGTGAAAGACCAGTCCAAAAAGAAGTGCTTCAACTCATTTTTTTTTATGTATGAGTATTAATGTCTTTCATTCTGCGAGAGCGGCCGAGAGACCGACGCCCATCAGCTCCTTCTGACTTCCCTTGCTGGAACACTGGCGTTTGCTGTACCTGATCCCGGCTCCCAGTGAATGCGTTTTGATTGTAATAAAACACAAACTGAACCATATGTGCACGTGTGTTTTAGACGCCGCATTATTGATCCCCCTTTCCCTTTCTTTTGCACTACAAGTAACGGGTTACAATGCCATAATACAATTATTTTCACTTTAGAAGAAACTAAGAAAGCGAGCATATGCAACCATTAAAATACCACGATTTTATTTAACGTTACTTTTGTATACACCGTGGTGTCCAAGAATTGTTGATGACTGTGGTACGCCCAGGAGTTTCGCCTGTCGGGAGGGAGGCAGATGAGGGGAGGGACGACGTCGTGTTGTGCTGTGTTGTGTTGTGCTGTG